GGTTTTGAGTTAAATGTGAACATTAATTTGCAAAATTATTAAGAAAAAAAAATAAAAATGTGGAAAAAAGAGGAAAATATGATCTCTACGTCGAGGAGATGCCACGTCAGCATATCATGATTCTGCTTTATAGACATATATAGATTGTTAAAACGAAGGTAACTATTTACAAATTTTCATCAACAAAGTTTAACCTATAATATGACTAATCACTTTAAAAGTGAATTTTCTTATTAGTTTTTCCGTATGACACTGTTGAAGAGTGACATATTAATTACAAGGGTGATGTCTTATTGGTTTGAACTTGGGTTGTAAAGGTTAAAATTGTCTGGAGGTCCCATGTTCAAATCCAAACGAGAAATAAAAATCTTCTTATTGCCACGGAGGTTCAAGCGCGGTGACTCCGAGATACCCGCAAAGCAGATAATCATCCTTAGATTAGTAAGATCGCATAACGGATTGGATATACAGGTTCATAAACAAATTGACATCAGCTTTCTTATAATTTTGTTTTCTACAAATATTTCCTAAATCCTATAAAACAATTTCAAATCTCATTCCATACATGCATAATTATATATCCTATATAAAGTTATTGTCTAATTAAGTATTACATTAAAACACCCAATTCCGATTGCAGACTAGTTTGGTCATGTTTGACAAATGTAAATCAACTTATTTTTTGAGTTTATTACAAATCTTCTGCTTGGATGGGAAAAAAAACTAGCTTAAAAGCTCTCTTGTAACTTTTAAAAAAGCCTTAGAATTTTTTTGCCATTTTCTTTCAATTATGTAATTAATTAGTATTAATTCTTATTTTTTTTTATTTAATAGTAATTTCAATCAATTAATTAATTTTAAATGTAAAATTATTCGGTAATATTCATAATTAAGTTATTATTAATCTTATCTATCATTTTATTATTATTATTATTGTTCAATATATTTAGTACTAAAAAAAATGCTCTCTGCATTTAAGTTGATGTAGGATGTTTTTCGCTTGGAAATTAGTGTTGGAAGTCAAATTTGACATCGTAGTTCCAACCATGCTCCTTATCAATGGCGGATCCAAGATATTTGTTCAGTGGGTTCATCTTTAAAGTAGATTAAAGACTCGCAAAATTATCCGATGTGTTTTTAACTTAATTACAACATTTCGAGGGATTTTTAAAGTTTCTTGGTTGATTTCGAGGGAATTTTTAGTGTTTTTATCGATTTCGAATAACTTTTTTGTTTTTTTATTGATTTCAATAGGGTTTTTTTTTTATTGATTTCAATAGATTTTTTTTGTTAGAGCAACGGTTTTGATTAGAGTTAGGGGCCCGTAGAAAAATGTAATGGAAAAAAGTGAAAAGTAAATCACGTAAAACCTAAATTTTAACATATAAACCCCTCCTTTGCATCCGCTCTGCTCCCTATATTATTAATATTATATATTATTCTAAGAATTTATTGTGTATTTTAATGGATGCTACTTACATTTTCTAATTATTGATAAAACAAATAATAATAAAATATATATGTAAGGTAGGGAGTTACCGTAAGGAGTGCATTGGAGAGTTCCTTTTTTTGAATTTGGCTGCCTACATTAGTTAATGTATAGATGTAGATAGTATATTAGAGCATCTCCAATATGTATGTTATATTTCTTTTTCTTCTTTCAAATTTAGAGGTTTCTCAATTCTTTACTTTTTTTAGAGGAAAGTTTAAAATAGTTGTTACAGCAAAAATGCAACACTTCAATTACGGAAAATACAACTAATTTCAAACTCTGGGTTCGCCAAAGGTCAACATTGAATACCTTTACATACATCATATGTAAGGTTTAAAGCTAACAACTTTCAAAATGGAATCTTACACAAGATCTAAGTCAAGAACGTTTGACAATGATACCTGTAT